GATCTCGGCTATCATGGTCGCAAGTGGACGTTCGAAAAGAAGGTGACAGGTGGATCATACACAAGAGTTAGACTCGACAGAGCATTGGGGACGCCCGAGTGGTGTGCTCGGTTTCCTTTAGCGGCCGTGGAACATCTCACAGCCGCAACCTTTGATCATTCTCCCATCAATCTAATGTTGGATCCACCGGACAGAGGAAAGCATGGCAAAAAGCAGTTATTGTATGAGTGCATGTGGGGCACGCATCCCGAGCTAATCCCCACGGTTCAGCATGCATGGGAGGCGAACATTCCTAATCTAACGGCGGCAGAAGTTCGAGCAAACTTACAATCTTTGTCCAATAATTTGGGCGAGTGGAGTAAGTCAACTTTTGGGAGTGTAAAGTCAGAGATAAGGAAGTTGAAGAAATATTTGGAGCGGCTCAGGAATGATCCGGCTAGGACTGCACCGAGCCATGTAGAGGTTAAAACAAATGATCGTTTGATCGAATTATATCTTTGAGAAGAAATAATGTGGCGCCAAAGATCAATGGTGGCATGGTTGTCAGAGGGTGATAGGAATACTCATTTCTTCCACCTTCGGGCTTCAAATAGACGGCGCAAAAATCTGATAAAAGCACTGCAGAAACAAGATGGCCAGCTAACAGATGATCTATCGGAGATGCAGCAGTTAACTCTTGATTTATATAAAACCTTATACACCTCGGAGGAGGTGGAGGGGTTAGATGACGTTCTTCAACACGTCTCCTCAAAGGTGACAGCAGCTATGAATGAGACTCCTATGGCGCCTTACAAGGAAGAAGAAGTTAAAAAGGAGCTTTTCCAGATGTTCCCAACCAAGGCTCCGGGGCCTGACGGATTCCCTGCGCATTTCTTCCAGAGGCATTGGGACATTTGTGGGGCTGCGGTCACACGTGTTGTATTGAGTATAGTTCGAGGAGAAGAGAGCCCAGAGTGTGTGAATGACACTATTTTGGTATTAATCCCCAAGGTATCAAAACCAACTTTTCTGTCTCAATTCAGACCGATTAGTTTATGCAATGTCTTTTACAAGATAGCTTCAAAGGTTTTGGCTAATCGGTTAAAGGTAATTCTACCTGAGGTTATTTCTAAAGAGCAGTCAGCGTTCGTGCCTGGCAGGCTAATAACTGATAACATAATCTCAGCGTATGAGTGCTTGCATTTTATGAAGAGGAATAAGTCAAAGAATAATAACTAATGCGCTCTCAAACTCGACATGATGAAGGCATATGATAGAGTGGAGTGGAACTATTTGGAAGCTATCATGAGGAAACTGGGTTTTGCTGCACCATGGGTCTCCACCGTCATGAACATGGTCAGAACAGTTTCTTTTTTAGTTCTGTTTAATGGAAGTAAATTGGAAGAATTTTCACCATCTAGAGGTATTCGTCAGGGAGACCCCATCTCTCCATACCTTTTCTTGTTGGCAGCAGAGGGCCTTTCATGCCTGTTAAAATCTCAGATTGGATCATCCCAACTCAGCAGCATCAAGGTGGCTCCATCGGCTTCGTCGGTGAACCACCTTTTATTCGCGGATGATAGCCTGCTGTTCTTCAAGGCGAGCATGAATGGAGCAGAAGACGTGTCACACCTTTTGGATACTTATTGCATGGCCTCAGGTCAAAGAATTAACAAAGACAAATCATCTATTATCTTCAGTAAGGGATGCCCACAGATAGTGAAGATGCAGTTAAGGGATGTCTCCAGGTCCCTAATGAGTCCTTCAGTGAGAGATGTCTTGGTATGCCCGCATATGTTGGACGCTCAAAAAAGGCACCTTCAAACACTTGAGCGATCGAGTGTGGGATAAGGTGAAAGGTTGGATGGGCAAGTGTCTGTCTGCCGGGGGAAAGGAGGTCTTGATCAAGTCGGTTGCACAAGCCATTCCGGTTTATTCCATGTCCTGTTTCAAGCTCCCTAGGGGCTTATGTGAGCATATAAATTCCATCATCCAGAAATTTTGGCGGGGATGCAAGGAGGGGCAACGGAAGCCAGCTTGGGTATCTTGGGAGGCAATGACAAGGCCTAAGTATTTGGGAGGACTGGGCTTCAGAGACCTGGAACTCTTTAACCTAGCACTTTTAGCTAGACAGGCTTGGAGAGTGCTGCAGGATCCATCATCGTTGAGCGCGAGGATACTCAAGGCATCTTATTTCCCCAACACGGACTTTCTTACGGCGGCACTGGGCTCACGTCCATCACAGATTTTGCGAGCTATTCTAGAAGGGCGAGACATTCTCAAACATGGCATAATTCGAAGGATTGGCGATGGACAGTCGACGAATACCTGGGATCATAATTGGATACCCAAGGAGGGCTCACTGCGGCCAGTAGTGTCTCTTTCCCAAGACCCGCCTCAGCTTGTATCCAAGCTACTACTCCCAGCAACTGGTTCCTAGAATGATAACCTTGTTCGGTCTTTGTTCTTGCCAACCGATGCTGAGGCGATTTTGAGGATTCTAGTATGCACAAGCAATATTGACGACTTTTGGACATGGCATCCAGAGAAGAAGGGTCGGTTCTCGGTGAGCTCAGCTTACAAGTTTATGATTAAAACTAAAATCACTAGAGAGAACTGGCTCGAAGGCAGGAGCGGGTCCTCGAGCAACGACAGAGAGGAGCATGACTGGACCTCACTTTGGTCGCTGACGGTGCCATCAAAAGTCCGGGTTTTCTTGTGGCGCCTAGCCCGCCACTCTCTTCCAACAACAGATGTTCTGACCAGAAGGAATATGGCAACATGCGATGCTTGCCCGTTGTGTGGTTCTCCCGATTCTTGGCGTCACGCATTGGTGTCATGCACGTTGGCTCGATGCACTTGGGCATTATCTGACCCTAGTCTGGTTGCGAAGATGGCGGAGATCGAGGAAACCAGCGCTAAGAGTTAGCTGTTCAGGCTAAATGAGGTTCTTGATCAAAAGTCCTTCACAACTATGGTTGTGACTCTTTGGACGATATGGTATGCTAGAAGGAAGGCGATCCACGAAGGCATTTTTCAGTCCCCGATGCACACTTCATCGTTTGTGTCCTCTTACACTAATAAGCTGCAGCAGCTTGAGAAACCTAGTGAACATCATGCACAGGTAGCCGCACCAAGAGGAGGGCCAAGGAGTTGGCTAGCGTCACCTGTGGGTTTTGCAAAAATCAATGTTGATGGAGCTGTTGGGCGTCATAGACGTGGCGGGGCAGTTTCAGCGGTGTGTCGAGACCACACAGGATTATACTTGGGCTCTTTGGCGGCAGTCTACCGAGGCATTACTGACCGCACAACTCTGGAAACGTTTGTGTGCAGGGAGGCTTTAGCTCTTGCAGAGGATCTTCAGGTGACAAACATGATGGTTGCCTCAGACTGCAAAGGAGTAATTCTTGATATAAACGAAGGAACGGGAGGTCCACACTCGGCTATTGTACATGAAGTAATGCTTCGGAGATGCAGTTTCAATTCGGTTACTTTTATTTTTGAGCGTAGAAATCACAATTTCGAGGCTCACAATCTCGCCAAGTTTGCTTGTAGGGTAGGTCGGCATGTTTGGCTGGGGGTCCCTCATGACCAGCTTCGTGTACCTATGAACATTGCTATTATCTAATAAAGTGGTGAGATTTCTCAAAAAAAAAGTAAGTCTGAAAGCAAGTTAGTTGTAAAAACACATAGTACTAAAAATGATCATGTTAAGCCATTGTGATCATGTTTGCTCCACTCTTAGTTGTCTTGTTATATCATGCTCGATCGGCCTACAACATTACACCGCTAGAGCCACGCCTAGTCGAGTAGTCGTGCTTCTTTGTGACCTTTCTTGTGATGTGATCCATTCTTGTTATAGATATTTTAGGAACTAATTAAATTAGTTTGTTCAATGGAGTTTCTCTATATTTCGGTTAATAGAGCATTTTCAGTTGAGCTAGGCTAATTTGGCCCCTCATTTGTCTGCTGACACCGGCAAGATGTGTCCGCTCCGGACGCTTATTTATCTATGTACACAGTTAAGTCCCCCAAAATTGTTCGGACATGTGCATATAATTTGTGGAGATGAAGAGAGACAAAAGAAAGAGCGAAAGTGGTCCTGGGGTGGACTGTGTTCGACGTGGCAGGCTGAACATGCATGGATACCCCATTTCCTCCCCACATTTTTTTGAGAAGAACACCGCACTCTATTTCATTCAATAATGTTTAAAGGGATACAAATGTGATCCGGTGGATCAATAAGCCACACATGTCTACCAATACAAGTGTAGTGGATGATCTAGCTAATCTCTGTGCCTCATCATTTCTTGCGAGGTGTTTGTGGACAAACTCGCAACTTTGTAGTCTCGTCTTTCTATTGTCAATCTCTCTAGGATCATGCAGTACTCGTCTATGTTTCGCTCGCTCTTTAGGTCGTTTATGACTCTCAGAGAGTCGGATGCAATGTGTGTTTTTGAGACGGCCAGGTTCTCCGCAAGAGCTAAAGTTTCTCTGCACGCGCATGCCTCCAGAGTAGCAGGTTCTGTCTGGGATGCGTTTGGGGATTTGCATACGTGATACATTTGAACAAATGAGGGGGGTTTGCATACGTGATACATTTGAACAAATGAGGGGGATTTGGAGCCCTTGGTTTGGTAGGCTTTTTTCTGCTCCTGTCCGGGATGTCCACCTCGAGTAGGAGGATTGGGTGCCTATTTTTTTTATTTTTGAGTTGAAGATGGTCTTAGCTCCTGTGCCAAGGATGATAAAAGGACTAGCCGGCAGCAATGCAAAAGAGTACGATTCTGCCTGGGTTTGGCCATTTGAAACGTTTATTGCAACGTTCAGCATTTGGGGAAAGCTGTGGAAATACATACAGCTGACACTCATCAAGGTTGATGACAGCAGCGCCAAAAGAATCCATCACCCGTGAGGCCGTGACGACAAAGGAAAATTAATCAAAGCAGGGCGGACAAAACAACACAAACTGGAATGCACAAGCGGGCATACGCAAGATCACCTACTGCCAAATTCAACAATCAAACACACACAACCTTACGATTAGCGTTGATGGTCGGCTCCACCACTTCGTCACGGGACAGCCCGCACGCTGACCCGATGCACCCGAGCATGCCGCCGCCTTTCTTCTGCGCGCCGCCGGACTTGGCCGCCGTCTTCCCCACGCCGTCCGCCGCGAAGCTGACACGCTTCTTGCTCCCGGTCGTGCCACCCACGGATGAGCCCAGCACCGGCGACGCGACCCGGCTGCAGCCCGCCGGTGACCGCACGGCGGGGAACTGGTGCGCCCGGAGCTGGCCGTCCGAGAACACCATGCTGGCGGGCGACGCCGAGCTGTTGCTGATCACGGCGCTGAACTCGAAGCTGGCGTCCGTCTCCGTCGACGACGCGGGCGGGGTCTGCGGTGCCACCACCGGCACGGTCTGTCGGCTGCGGCCGTAGCTCGCACGGCGTCGGGATACCAGGTTAGCCCCGTCGTCCTCCGCGGCAACAGGGCTGGCGTCGACGGCCGCCATCAGCTCGAGGAGTGGCTTGCTCATGGTTGCAGAAAACCGAGGGATGCCTGCTGTGCTACCTCGACTGGTGGTCGAAGCTCGTGTGTGCAGTGTTACAGATTAATCGCGGGTATATAAGTAATGGGCGTCGCGAGCAGAAGCATACAAATGATGTGTGTGGTTTTAGTGGCAAGGGCGGTGATAGAAACAAAGAGGTCATGATGTCGCGGCGTTGGTATAAACGATGGCGTATGCCAGGGTTTGGAACTAGGCATGGCCACCGCCGTCTTTTGCGGTTGTCGCGGGAGAAGTGGACCGAGTGCTGCTGTGGCCGGCTTTTTAAGAAAGCGGGAGTTTAGTCTTGTAGACACATCTTTTCTTAGAGCAAGTTCAGCAGTTCCTCTAAAAAAATCCCCCTATATCTTAAAATCGGGAACTCCCTTATAAGTTATAATGTTCTCTCCTAAAAAATTTCTGATTCCAGCAGTTCCCCTAAATCATCTCCCTTGTTCTATATTAAGAATATTTTATAACTACCATTTGAAACCCAACGTCTGCTATTCAGATCTACAGTATATAAATACATGATCACCTCTCATATCTCTCACAATCCCTATTCTGCCTCATTTTCTACATAATGGAGGCAATTTGTTCTTCTTCGGGCCCTTTGAGATCAGTTTGTTATTCTTCATGCTTTTCAAGATCAATTTGTTCTTCTTTGGTCCAGTGCAAATAATGCAAGCGGACATCACTTTGCAAAAGATTAAAAGTACTCTTGACCGTCCATTACCAAAATCAGAAACAAAAGCAAACGAACCATACATCGTATAGATGTGCAGCAACCAGTAACAAATAACTAGCAGCAATCAGTGATTTTTTTAGCGGAGGATTAAATAGGAGATCTTAAGGCACTCTCAATGCTAGGCTCTTAGAGCATCTTCGACCGTGCCATAAAAAACTCCCTCTAAATAATGAAAAAGAACTACATCTAGAAGTGATTTTATGAGGTGTCCATATAATTCAAGAGAGTTTTACATGTGAGGTGATTTAGCAGATCTCGTAAACATATTCCCCTAAAATCAGTTACTACTTTTTTCTTCTGTTTCTGTTTAAAATAATATACAAATGGCTGTGATGCAGCGGTGACGACACAGTGGTCTGGCGGCAGTGGTGCGATGGACTTCAAGGGCGGCGCACTGTCGTGGCACTCTTAGAGGAATGTTTACGAGAAAGATCATCTTCTCCTAGATGGAGAACTTGGGCAGATTGTAGGGGTTCCCCTTAAAAAATCGCGTTAACAAAATCGGTTGGAGCGTTTTTTTAAACTCAAATATTGCATTGAGGTTCTCTCAGTGAGGTCATCCGAGCAAACGCCGTGATCTGGGAGCGTTCAACGCTTGAAAATTGTCATGCCGAAACAGATGTATTTGCCTTGCTATTATATAAAGATTTATCATGTTGTAGCATAAAGATTGTCGGGAATTTATCATGCTGCACCAAGGTAAGTGCGGGCCTAAAAAATTAATTTTATAACTTGTTCAGGATTTGCCATACCGGCAGAAGAAATCTGCCATGCCACATCAAAGGAAACTGGTGAAAATTGTCATGCTCTAGAATCAGAATTTGTCATCCCGGATGTGTATGCTCAGATTGCCATCATGAGCAAATCGATTAGTGTTATAAGTTTGTAGTTCGCTCAACGAGGTGCGTGGGAGCAAACAGTGATTGCCTCACGTCTTATTTTGAGATTTGTACACGGGACTGAACATGTGATATCACGTTCTCTAAAAGAAACTCTAAGCTGATGTCACATTATTAACATTTAGGTGGTGTTTGGTTCTCTAGTCCTAGGATTTTTTTCTAGTCTCAACTAAAAAGTCCCTCCCTGTTTGTTTCAAGAGACTAAAAAGTCTCTAGTCCCTTCCTAGAGGTTATTAAATGACCATGTTGCCCCTAGTATATAGAAAAATAACAATTAAACAACACCATGGGGTGGCGGGTCAATGAGTGCATGAAGGGGCATTGTTGGAAAAGTCCCATCATTTAGTCCCAAATGCCTAGTTTAGTCCCTAAAAAGTCCCTCTCATTTGATAAAAAAGTCTCTAAGAGGGACTTTTTCTAATCCCTACACAAAAAAGTCCCTGGAAACAAACACCCCCTCACTCCCTCCGCCTCATAATATAAGAGTGTTTTTTATATACTACACTAGTATCAAAACGCTGTTATATTATGAAACAGAGGGGGTAGTTGTTTTCTGCCCAACTTTCCCAACTATTTTGTGGGGAGGAGGGGATAATACGAGATCTGTTTGAAGATACTCTTAACACATTATCATAGGCAAAACATTGATGTGGCATTGTAATAAAAAAGAAAATAGATTGAAATTGTGTATTAGGAAGATAGGGCTCATAGCTCATTTTCCACTGCGTGTAATTAATGGCCCAATCATTTTCTGTATTTTCTCTTTTATCCTTCTCTTCACACCTGGGCCACAATGTTGAGATGCAAAAAAAATACAAAAAACAATTCAATGCAATATTATTCAGGTACAAACCATAAGATACAATTTATTGGGATGATTGTCTCTAATTTTTTTCTACCAAAGATAACACGTTAAGAGACAAATTATCCACTGAAAAAAGATAAATTATGTAGGCTAACTTTTTTTCGTCATGTGCACCTCAAGATGCAACCATTCGCCTAACTATAGAGCGACAAGGATGATTCATGGAACACTTTGGGATATTGTCACCGGCTCATACACCGTCGTATAATTTGGTTCAAATCAATGCCGTGTTTTATAGGACGGGCTCCAGGAAATCCATTTTATTTTAAAAGACTCCCTCGAGCCCGGACACCAAATGCACTTTCTGAGTGCCCAAGCCCTGGTCTCCTCCTTCGAACGCAACCATTTTATTGTATGAATCATGTGACGCGTGGTCACATTTTCCGATCCTTGAACCCTAGTGAGTAGATAGGTAAGGGAATCTCCAATGCGACTCACTAAATGCTGGTAAAGCAAAATGTTTGGATCTAACGGTCCAGTCACTTTTAGCAGTCCAACGCAGTTCACCAAATCAAGCTGAACTGGTTTAGGCGCCTTAAATCACATTGTCGGACCTCAAACCAGGGGAGTTGTGGGGGAGTCCGGACGTCCACCATATTGGACTTCCTCACCTTTGATCCACCCCCAAAACCAACCGGGGCCTGCTCATTTTGACAACCCCCCCCCCCACACACACACACACTCTTCCACACCGAACCCTGCCTTCTCCGTCCGGATTGTTATTGCCTTTGCGTGTTCCAGCCAGTCCCACTGTATGCCACCGTCATGATGGATTCATCGAACTCCATCACAAGGTTCGATGCCTCGTCGGATCTGGAGAAGTCCAACCGGATCAGGCCCGATCCCCTCCTCCATATTGGACAACCGTGTCAGTGTCGCACAGGCAATCGTAGGCCTAGCCCTCCTATATTATTGGCGTCGTACTACTTCGTCGCCCGGTAGTACGGTCATCCCAGCACGTAGTAATCGTCACAGCACTCCGCCTCCTCCGACCACCCTCCACATGTACATTATCGATATCAACTCTAACTATGTGTTCACCATGCCGCCAACTCTCGTTCAGACGCGCTTTCCATCCTAGGAGCCCTTGTCCAGTGGTGTTCGGTCACTGCTTGGCGGAGAGCCTCCCCCAAATTTGATGACGACCACCAATGAGGCGATGATGGCCATGATCCACATCGGCGGTGACCAATTTCTGCATCAACGTGGGGGTATCATCTAGTTCACACTCATGGCATGGCACACAGCGTGTGCCAGCACAAAAATGGCCATCCCACTTTGATACGTCTCCAACATATTTATAATTTTTTATTGTTCCATGTTATTATATTGTCTGTTTTGGATGTTTTATATGCATTAATATGCTATTTTATATTATTTTTGTGATTAACTTATTAGCATAGAGCTCAGTGCTAGTTTCTGTTTTTCCTTGTTTTTAACTTCTACAGAAAAGGAATATCAAACAGAGTCGAAACGAAATAAAACTTTCGGTCATTTTTCTTGGACCAGAAGAAACCCATGAGACTTGGAGAAGAGGCCAGAAGACCCACGAGGAGGCCGCAAGCTGTAGGGGCGCGCCTCGAGGAGGCGCGCCCCAGGGCTTGTGGGACCCTCAGGGATTGATGAGGACTATGGTGACCACTTGTAGACAATGTATCCGCTTTTTCATCTTAATAAAGCTATCCATGATGACCTTCATAAAAAAACCAAGATTAAAATAAAATAAAACTAAGAGAAATTCCACACGACGTTTACTCTAGCCAAATGAACGTCTACTAGTTCAAACTAGCATTCTTTAATCTTGTGAGTCACTCCACGTGTACGGTCACCATTGGCCGGATGGCCTCATCGCCCTAAACCCTCGAGCCGAAGAGACGCGTGTTGCTTCAAGGGCAAGCAAATCCAGCCCGGCACGCGCACCCAGCCCGCGGCCCTCCTCTGCTCAGCGCCGCACGAGCCCAACGGCCGTCTTGAACCGGCCGTGGCCGTCCGATCGCAGCCTCGGCCGCGCGCGCCGACCGATCCGACGGCGCCGGCTCTCGTCCGATCCCACAATATAAGAACGGACGGGGAAGGCAGGCGTCCTCTCTGCGAGAACCGCTCCGTCCATTCGACTCCGCTCTCGTCTCTCGCCACTCGCTCCCCTCCCTCTCGAGTTCCTCCAGTTCGCCGTCTCCACCGGCTCGCCCTTGGCGCCGCGGTCTTCCGGGTGTTCGAGAGAGGTGCCTGCGCGTTCGTCCCCCCTGCCCCTGGTCGCCCGCGGGAGTGCGCGCGAGACCCTTTGATCGATCCCCTCTCCCCCAGTTCGTTTGTGTTTTCCCGAGGTTTATCGGTGCGAATTGCTTTGGTCGATTTCGTCGCATTGCGTTGTGGATTTGATTTCCAGTCGGGTTCGTGTTTCGTTGATGTTGCAGGCGGTCGCTGCTCGCGCCGCGCGCGTGTGGCGGAGGACGGACGCGATGGTTTCCTTCGACATCAACGACCGCAAGAGTACGTGACTTCACAGCCGCCCTCCTCTCCCTCTCTCCTCCTGGCGCGATTCATGTGTCGTTCGTTGCGAGATTGGGAGGCGTTTGCTCTCTCGCGCCCTGTAAATTATTCGTCTCACATTTGGCCCCGTCTGCCGCTCTGGTGTCGAAACCCGTAGGAGATTCAGATGGTTGTTTCGTTTTCAGAGACTACGATTGATCCTTTCGCGTCTTGGTTGCTATGAATTCTGCTCCGTATTTTGCAATCCAATGGGCTCACTATGCAGGTTAACAGTATTGGTTTGGTGTGTAGAATCTCGCCCAAATTCAGCGATGTTCTGTCTCAGGGTTTGCTTAGTGTGAATTATTCGCCGTTGGTATGATGTCGTTGCGTTAATGCTTTTGGTCCACTGTTTAAGTGTGGCAAACTATTCTTCTATCATTGCCTCTGTGTAGGATTACAACAGCGTGATTTCTAATGTTTCATGTTTGGCAGACACATGTGTAGAAAATCAACTAACGGTTACGAGTATGACATCTGTTCAGAATATGAACCACTCATGCTATTCAGTGTTTTACTGCTTGGTCATTGGTTGGTGTACACATTTTCTGGAAGTTATAATCAGGAGGCAGCATCTAATAGTTGCTAAATGCTAAATATAATAGTTGGTGTACAAATTCTTCTACGCTGAATTTTACAGTCCGATGGGTTCATTGTGCTAGTTAACAGTATTGGTTTGGTGTGTTGAATCTCGCCCAAATTCAGCAATGTCTTGTCTCAGGGTTTGTTTAGTGCCGTTGGTATGATCGTGATACGGTTGCATAAATGTTTTTGGTCCACTATTTAAATGTGGCAGACTATTCTTCTATCATTGCCTCTGCGTAGGATTAGAACAGTGTGATTTCTAATGTTTGTCTGACAGATGTTGACAAAATTAACTTGGGCTTACGTGCATGTTCAGAATAAGGACCATCAGTGCTGTTAGGTGTTTTCCTGTTTGGTCATTCGTTGTTAAACAAATTGTCAGGAAGATATAATCAGGAGGCACCATCTAATAGATGCTAAATGCTTAATATGACTGAAATCGGCTGTCTAAGTGACACTTTCCTTCCATGTCTTGTACAATGCACCTGTACCTCTGAACTCCTGCTCAAACTACAAGTAGTTTCTTAGTATGACTGTATTTTGGGGCGTCTAATTTAATCAAGTGGCACTTGTCATGTACTGCACCTCTGAACTCTTGCTCAAGTTGTTTCACATTTTCCAACAGAGATTGGGCTGGGCTTGACTGGGTTTGGAGTTCTCTTCTCGTTTCTTGGGATCCTCATGCTGTTTGACAAGGGGTTCTTGGCAATGGGGAATGTAAGAATCATCCTCCTGGTTTACTTGTATACTTCGCTGCAACCTATTCCTTTCTAATTACTATCATGTATTTCTTGTCAGATTCTCTTCGTGTCTGGTGTTTCACTAACCATTGGCCTGAAGTCAACTGTACAGTTCTTCACCAAGCCTAAGAATCACAAGGTCATATACACGTAACAAAGAAAGCTCGGTCATATATACAAACTGTTCAGTTCCAGTTCAGTTGTGAGCTGACAAGATTCACCTGAATGTGCAGGGTTCGATTGCTTTTGGGATCGGACTTTTCCTCGTCCTCATTGGTTGGCCTGTCTTCGGAATGATGGCGGAATCGTATGGCTTTGCCGTGCTGTTCAGGTTTGTAAATCCTGTGTTGTGCATTTATATGGTCATCTGATGTCTGGTTTTCAGTGTGCATTAACAAATGGTAGAAACCTTTGGGCATTGTATCTGACTGCTACTGAATTTCCTCACAGCGGCTTCTGGCCTACTGCTGCTGTTTACCTGCAAAAGAACCCCACCGTCGGCTGGATTTTCCAGCACCCTTACGTGACTTCGGTAAGATAATGTATTTGTTCTTTGCGGCTTTGCTATTGCTTTCTGCCTGAATTTTCCTTAAGCCCGACCTAATTTGGTCGCAACTTTATTTATATGGAGATTTTTTCTGCGAGAGATTGTTTATATGGAGATTGATGAACCATATGATTACATCTCAGTCCCCATTGTTCTTAGTTCTTACTGATGTTTCCTACTCGAATTTCGCAGTTGCTCACCCGGTTCAGAGGCAGACGAGTCCCCGTGTGATCGCCGTGCTGTCAAAACATTCCCAAAGGATGCTAGATCGCCCTGTATAAAGTAGACGGACATGTGTTCTCTTGCTCGTTTGTTGATTCCTTGGTTCTGCTGGATGTGAATCTTGCTGCGCTGCTACGAGTGGATTTTCTGCAGATCTCTTGACTGCGTCTAGAATTCTTTTTGTGCAAAAGCATTTGTTAGTACCACGTGTTAAGGAGGCAAAGAGCTGAGCTCTTTTCTGAATGATGGCATGTCTGAGAGAATGGTGAATTGGTCCGTGCATGGTATTTCCCACTGATTCGAGCCCTCAAGGAAGCCATTTCTTACTTGGTTTTTGTAATAACAATTAGACATTTCTTGCTTATGAACAGCCGATTACATCTCTGCTTATTGCATGAACAACAGTGCACAGCATCTTTCGAAACTGTGTGTAAATTTACAAATTTGAAGGTCCTGATGTTTATAAGGGAATGAACAAGGAAGCAGCGAGGCGTACATCTGTTCTTTATTTTCATTTCTTCTCCAGTACATAACCAGTATCAATCTGTTCCGTTCATGAACACTGGGGTTCTTAGCTTCGAAAATGAGCGGCCTGGACATATGAATCACTGGTCAGTATCATTTATGTTCGGTTAAACTGTAGTTAAGATCAAAGAAAATCACCATGGTACTCAAGTTAAATTTAAGGTTCAGCAGATCTATCAAGTTCATATTTGAAAGCAGAAATTATTCATATGTAGGACCTGAGTCCAGCATTAATTTAACAATTTTTCAACAAATTTATAACTGATAATGTTATCACTCATCTATTTACAAATCTTAACAACAAAGGGGGGTTTCCAGAGCTGATGTTTGCAATTCTCCAGTTACACAAACATCAGATATATGCAAGATGGTGCAACTTCGACCATTGTTTTTGTACGTGGAAATGTTCCAAACTGTGTGTAAACTTTCAAATTCAAAGCTCCTGCCGTTTAAAAGGTAATGAAACAAAGAAGCAGCGAAGTGTATATCTGTTCTTTGTTTTCATTTTCTTCTCCCATATAACCAGTATCAATCTGTTCCCTCCAAAAATGAGTGGCCTGGTCATATGAATCACTGGAGAGGTTCATTTATGATCGCTTAAACTGTACTCATTAAGATCAAAGATAACTGTACTCGTTAAATTCAAGGTTCAGCAGATCCATCAAGATAATAATTGAAAATATAAATTATTCATATATACGATCTGGGTCCAGCATAATAATCTGAACATCTTTTCCACAAATTTATAACTGATAATGCTATCACTCATCTATTTACAAATCTTAACAACAAAGGGGGGTTTCCAGAGCTGATGTTTGCAATTCTCCAGTTACACAAACATCAGATATATGCAAGATGGTGCAACTTCGACCATTGTTTTTGTACGTGGAAATGTTCCAAACTGTGTGTAAACTTTCAAATTCAAAGCTCCTGCCGTTTAAAAGGTAATG